AAAGTACTTCAAAATTGTTCACACTGGATTTACCCACGAGTAAAGAAAACCTGACCAACCGTGTCTTAACTTTTAAAGAAAAGGTGGAGACAGAGAATACTAATTCTGTGCAGTCCTTTAAAGGAGCAGTTATCATCAGGCCTGCTTTTTTCCTCCCATATATTTCTACCTCAGGCTACCCGCATCCCTTTTTAGCGCTGGCAGCACTTTGCTTACGTGGCCACAGTCTTCCCTGATGCTATTGTTGCCAGGACTCGCCAAAGTCACCAGAACCACCCTCCCTCCGATACAAGTTTAACCTCTGCAAGCCAGGGGCCTGAAAACCCCAGCCCAGAGACCCAGCTGTGAAAGACTGTCAGCAACACAGACGTCTGCCAGCAAATTACGGCTCGAGACAGCTCAGAGAGGAGACACAGCTCTTAAGATGCCTTGCCAGCTACAGTACGCGTTTTGCAATGGTTGCTCAACCACAACGCGCGTGGGGCAATAGTGCAGGAGGGGCAGCTGATGGTCAGCTCACACCTAAGTGGGATTTATTTTAGATACATTTATTATGGCGGATTTCTCATCCCGACTGCCAATGCAGAGAAAAGAGAAAGGGTGGGAGAGCCGGAGGGAGAAGGGAAAGGCTGGTCTCAAAGCAGTTACAGGCAGCCTGGACTAGTGATGCGGTACACATTGCTGGATCAGTGGTTGTCCTAATGCTGTGGGGAAACTTGGCAGCTCTGCTACCACTGTGGGCTGTTGAGACAAAGCCAGTGTGGAAACTTCACATGAAAAAAGAAAAAAAGAAAGAAAAAGCAAAAAGCAAAAAAAAAGGCCAAATGCATTATGACAAACGCAAAGACAATAACCTTTTGTAATCCAAACAAGCTGGGCAAGCCAAGCCATTGTTGAGAATCTGAAAAGCTCCAGAGCACAGGAGAAGGGTAAAAATGAAGAAAAAAAAAAAATCATACAGCTTCTAGTAGAAAACACAGAAAGTTTCCTGAATTTTAAAATAAAACAGTTCATTTTCCTGAGGAAACATCATAGCAGAGAGAGTTTTACACCGTCTCACTAAAGGAGTCAGTAATTAAGAGTGACTGTTTCTTCCTAACATCACCTGCACCTCTCTACATGTACGTGCAAATATCAACACACAGTGAAGTCACTGACGAAGAAAAGGTTCAGACAATTGATCTTCTGCATTGTAAGTGATAAAAGTTTGGCAGCATTTTAGTGTATCAAGCTCTGGCTGGCCAAAGCTCCATCTGACATTTTCTAGAAAAGGAATATATATGCTAATTTATTCTCCATGATAGATACTGTCCTTAGAAACAAATGCAGAACAAGTATGTCCTCAGCCGCTGTGTCCTGATGCGTCAGTTAAATCTAGGAATTAGAAAGGGAAGAAAATAGAAGCAAAACCCTTGAAGTGGAAAACGACCACTGTGAAACACCAGCCACCTCAAACCATCGCCTCTGACAGCCCACCAAGCTGAAAATCTAATGTCTTGTCCACAATCTCAACCATTAAAATTGACTCAGGCTTTTGGATAAATAGAAACAGATTGCTTCTCCTCCACTTAGGAGATCACTGCACACAATTTGATGGAAAACAAGAATCCCTTGGGCAAACACCCTACAAAAAGAAATGGATCCTTATTTAGAAGGGCTCTGATTTCGATAAATGTATGGCGATAGAGCAATCCCCTCACCATTTTATTGTCCTGAGGCAAACAAAGAGGTAACTGGTGCACTAGCTGTGGGATATGGAGCATATAAAAGATTTTGATTTTTTTATTCAGGACAAAAACGTAGCCCCCATTTTCCACTTCCAGCCAGAAGTCAAAAGGAACAGCAGGGAGAGGTAGCCTCGTAACAGTCTCCACATGCTTTTGCTTGGCACAGGCCACCTCTTTCTGGGACAACACTGAGGTGAATTACTGTGACTTGAAAATTCAAGTCTGAAGTATTTATTCTGGAATAACTGCTTACAGCTAGGCGTATTTGTGCTAAACTGGTGGTGATTTTTGCATTGACCATATTAGAATCTGTAACTGGATCAACATGTGTCCTACACTCCAGGAAATTCAGAAAAATCAACAGGAAAATCAACTCTCTTCTCCCCCCTGCCATATGCTAGAGTTAACAGAGTTCACACACCAGTACTGAAAAACAAGACATTGAATCAAATCTGCCATCCATTTAGACTTACCCAAGCTCTTCTACCTTACTCATTATTCTACATTTAAAATGTGTTCCTTCTTATTTATCTTTCTTCTAATACCAAACAGTATTAGCTATGCAATAACCATTTTGAATAAGGTGAAGTGCCATGCACAGATTCACAAGTGAGGTACAAACTGATATACAGAATTATCTCTTCATTTAATTTTTAACCATTCCAACCCTGTATGCATCCCAACATTCCGCTGGTGATTTTGACAAGAAAAATCACAGTAAGCAGAACTTCCAACTTCCAGAGCTTTTTGACATGCCTCTCAAGTTCATTTGGAGTGTCTAGCGTGCACAAATAGTTATTTTTCCCCTCTTCATGCTTTACTTGGTATTTATCAACACCAAATTTGATCATTGTGATGCCCATTCATGTATATCACTTAATTCTTTGCAGTTCCTCACGGCCCTTCTTGTTTATTAGGAAAAGAACTGTGGTGTCACCTGCCAATGCTGCAACTTCAACCATTCTAACCTCATTTCCTTTCCAGACCACTAACCAACCGGGGAAACACAAAACAACTCCCATGAACCTGGAAAAACCCTCTTTGCCTTCCAACCATGATGAAAGAATTCTGCTCTTACCCTCCTCTCAGCAAGTTCTTGGCCCATGAAACTTCTGTAACTCTCCCCCAAATTAGAAGGTTTTTTTTTTGTTTTGCCCCCGCCCCAATAGCATCTCACATCTTGAAAAAGAGCTTTTGGAAGTCTACATGAAGCCATTCTTTATTGATGCCTTCAGAGACATCCGGGATTTTAATAAGAAAACTCCCTTTGCAGAAAATGGGAGAGTGTCTCATGATCTTCCAAACATTATGCTGTTTAAGTCCTCAGTTGATCCAATGTTCTCATTCTGTTCCTATTCTTTTGCTCATGCCTGTAGCCTTTTTAAAATGTGAAGTCATCATTCTCAGGGTGAGACTGCATATTCTACTAGCAGCTGTTCAAGATGATGGACAATGATGGTTATTCCCAGATTAACATGTTCTGCACAAACACTCCAGATAATATTAAACTTAGATCATTATTCTGCCATTAAAACATCATTATATTTATGGTCTATAAAGTATAGGACAAATCAGAAGCATGTGGAGTTGTAGTCGCGTGTGAGCATCTAAGTCTCCAAACCTACAAGAGTTCAGGCTTTTTAACCCCCTCCATTCTTTCCCTTCCTGAAGGGACATTTGCTAAGGATGCTAAAACAATTGTGTTTTAGCAACAGCATGGAAGTGAAGACCATTTGCATATATAGGGCCTTTGCCTTTATAGAATCATCGAATAGTTTGGGTTGGAAGGGACCTCTAAAGGTCATCCAGTCCAACCCCCCTGCCATGGGCAGGGACATCTTCAACTAGATCAGGTTGCTCAGAGCCCCGTCCAACCTGACCTGGAATGTTTCCAGGGATGGGGCATCCACCACCTCTCTGGGCAACCTGTGCCAGTGCTTCACCATCCTCAGCGTAAAACATTTCTTCCTTATACCTAGTCTAAATCTACCCCCTTTTAGTTTAAAGCCATTCCCCCATGTCCTGTCGCAACAGGCCCTGCTAAAGAGTTTGCCGCCATCTTTTTTATCAGCCCCCTTTAAGTACTGATAGGTTGCAATAAGGTCTCCCCAAAGCCTTCTCTTCTCCAGGCTGAACAACCCCAACTCTCTCAGCCTTTCTTCACAGGAGAGGTGTTCCATCCCCCTGATCATTTTTGGGCCCCTCTTCCGGACCCGCTCCAACAGGTCCGTGTCTTTCTTATGCTGAGGGCTCCAGAGCTGGCCGCAGTACTCCAGGTGGGGTCTCACCAGAGCAGAGTGGAGGGGCAGAATCACCTCCCTCGACCTGCTGGCCACGCTTCTTTTGATGCAGACCAGGATACGATTGGCCTTCTGGGCTGCGAGCGCACATTGCTGGCTCATGTCCAGCTTTTCATCCACCAGTACCCCCAAGTCCTTCTCGGCAGGGCTGCTCTCAATCCCTTCATCCCCCAGCCTGTATTGATACCGGGGGTTGCCCCAACCCAGGGGCAGGACCGTGCACTTGGCCTTGTTAAACCTCATGAGGTTCACACGGGCCCACTTCTTGAGCTTGTCCAGGTCCCTCTGGATGGCATCCTGTCCAGGTCACACACAGAGCCCACAACAGCAAGGATTAGAGCTTCTCTAAGCGAGTGGGAGTCACTTGAGAAGGAGCCTCTTGAACTGACACAAAACAATGAAGACATTTAGCCACAGACAAAAAACCCTCATTGTTCTTCCTGTCTTCACTTCATTAGGTCAATGCTGTTCATTCAAACCTTTTCATTTTAGGCTGGCTATGACTTTTATTCAGATAGGCCAGTCTCTAAAACAATTCCTCAAGGGTTACCCAAATCAGGGGTCAGCTGCACTAGAGTATGGGAGGCAGCTCTCCCCTTTTGCAAGCACTCCTCGGAACGCAAAGGCATGACGGCCCACTGATCCATATTCTATAAAAAGCTACTTCCAAGACAGGAAAGTTGTTTAGCTTTCAGGAAGATCCCCTGACACCTCTTCCCCATTATGTGTTTGCTCTGCTTTGAGTGCTCACATGTTAAAATGAACTGAGGTCCTGGCTTTGCAGGGAGGTCAACTTATTTAAAATGTTAACTTCCAAAAGAAAAATACATGTGAAAGAAGGAAATACCTTTCCCTTTAGTACACAGGTGTACACCTCCATGTTTGATGCGGTTTACACTAACCAAAGACATGTACAAAGCAGGCATTCGTTGGGGAGAAGGCTGACCCCATGCTGAGAATGACACATTCTTACCAGCCAGTCATGTTGAAGTCACGGTAGAGCATCCTCTTTCCAACTTCCTTACGCTGCACCCTCCGTGGAAACTCTAAATGTGTGAACTCATTTCCCAGCAAGTGGGGCTGCATATAAGCCTGTGGGCAGAAACCAAGCCACAGATACCACGTGAACGTCATAAAACAAGACATCATCTATTTTTAATGAGGCAGCATTACCATCCCTTCCCGCTCCCTTCCCACACACATTTTTTTTTTTTCCCCCTTTTTAAACAAGGAAGATGATGAGCTCCGTTTCAGCAAATGTGCACATACACCAGTTCCGACCCTGCCTGGAGTCCAGCAACAGCCTTACAGGGAGCAGTCCTCTTGCCCTCAAAATCCTTCACTTCTCCCTGCTTCTCAACATTTGCAATCTCTGAAGTACACCTCATCCACTCACCCTGAAGGAGTCTACAGGGCTTCGTAAAACAGAACACATCTCCTTTAGGTAAGTCAGTGACCTGAGAGAAGGGAATGTTCAAAGGACAAAGCCACAGGGCAAGCAGAGACTTGGAGGGGTGTGTGTGGAGTGAAGCTCAAGCTTTTTGACTCCCCGTTCAGCTATGCCAACAACACACACAACCTCGTATTACTACCACACTTTAACTTTCACTGCCTTGAGAAAAATGTTCCCTTTTACCTGCTCAGTGTGCTGCACCCCGTGGCATGAGGCACTACAAATAAACACGAGTTGCAGAGCACTTTATTTTCTTGTTTTCTAAAAACTACTTCCTTTGTACAGAATAGACTAAGAAAAGCAGCAGCAGTTTTGTGTCACAACTGCAACTAATGTTTCTGATGGTGTTAACATTCAAATACTGCTGCCGCCCCTTCTGGTGTTGCTGCTCTGCAGATGCTGGGATGCCTCTTTGCTAGAGCCATGCCCGAGGCTCACGTGCTCCAGAGCTGACTGTACTTGAGAGCACTATGAGGCTCTTTGTCCACCACACAGGTTTTTGGTTTGGATTTATACACAGATCACCCGACACGATAGGTTAATCCTTAAACCTCACTCATTTTTCTTTAATATTTGCATAAACAAGCCTTCCCCCCTCCCTCCCCAAAGCCACATTGTGAGTGAGCTCTTCTGAAGACACAGTCAAATTGGCTAGGGAACTGAAAAAAAGTTGTGTTTCTTAACCTTTCTGCAGATAACACTTTTTCCTTATCCAGACAGTTAAGGCAATAAAGCCTGTCTTATCTCCAGCAGCAGCTGCCATCAGGGCAGACCAAATGAGCTGGCTTTAGTTTGTGGGTTTGTCATAAATCTAGCGCTCATCAAAGGTGAGCGGCAGGAAGCAGTGGAAGCCCTTATTGATCTACCTGGCAGCTATCATGCAGATAGTTCACAATAAAATATTTCCTCCATTTAAGGGCCGAGCCTGCTCCCGCTCAATTTAATAGGAGTTGAATCAGGCTCAGCACATCACAGCGCTAACCTTCCATCAGCTTGTCCCTGTTCCCATCGCCAGACATCCTTCCAGAAAACACCTCGAGCTCGGCTGAAACGGGGCTGAGGGAGATTGCTGTGTGTAGCGGACAAGATTGGATTCTGCTTTCAAGAGGCGGCTTTCAAGCACGCAAATGTGATCTTGACATTGTGATCCCTTGCTGGAACAGGAGCTCCATCAAATTCTCTCTCCGTGTACAGTTAAGGGAATTAAATTTTTTTTCCTGCAGTCTACAGTCAGCCAAGGTCCCCTCCCCCACCCAAATATTGTTTTCAAGGACCCTCTAATTGGAACACTGTTCCTCATTACAGAAATGGTTGACAAGCACTAGCGACTTTTGAGAGGTCTAGCAGTATTAGTCCAGATGAGGCTTTCCATACTTCCAGAACTCTGGATTCTTTATTTAAAAGTACATGTAAACGTTTTATTTTTCTTTCTTTTAATTCCAGTCATAAAAAAGATGGAACACCCCTAATGATTTATTTGATGTATTGCTACACATTGACAGCAGAGAGCTGGACTTTTTTTCATTTTTTTTTAAAAAATTCTTTCTAGTCTATGATATTGTAAACAATGAAGTCTGCTTTGAAAGTGCAATTCAGTTCACTTTTAAAAATGCACACCCTATCTTGATTCAATGATTACAAACCACTTCTAGCTAAAGACTACTGTTGCCTGCCTACAAAACAAGAAGCCTCATTTAAAGCAAAAAACCTCATACCTGACATAAAAATGAAGTTATTTAACCTTTAGATTATGAGATTACTTGTTAGGCTGGATCACAGGTCCAGAAGAAAGAAGTTACAGGCTTTCAGCATTTTTCCCCTTGAAAACAAGAATTTCCTTTATTGAAAAGGTAACGCGATTGGGAGAGACTGCATTTCATAAAGATTTACTCAGATGGAAAGTCTGAGGTCACAAGTGAAATAAGATTAATAAAGCTGGCAGAGTTACCAGTGGACTGCTAATGTTCAAATAAGATTTCTCTTCTGCAGCCAAGCCTCAATGCTTGATTTACAATCCAGGGATCTTAACTTGATTCTAATATTTTTGGCGTCAGTAGAACAGAGGGAAAAGAGCAATTTGGAAGCTTCTGGTGCCTGTGAGCTGAATTCTTACGTGAAGAAATGGGGACTTTCTGACTTTTGGGGGCTTTTTTTTTTATTTCTATACTTTTTACCCTTTTCTTTTTAACAGTTATTTTTGATGCTTCACTGGTAATTCTACAGAGAGAAGAATGTTCTACTATAAAATTCAGCTGCGACTTCCAGTTGGGTTTGTTGAGAACTGTTCTCCATTTACTATGAGGCAGGACTCTTCTCCCTCTCCACCCCAATCAAAATGTGCTGGGCAGCAGAACCAGAAAATAAACAAAAAGCAACCCTTTAAAAACCTACAGATCTTTCAAGTACATGTACAAGCAGACACCACAAAATCCCCTCAAGTGATCAAATGAGAAACAAAAACGGTAAGTAAACTGACTACCAGAATTTCACCTGTGATGAGACACTGTATTTTCCATTTTTTCATTTGTTTAGTCTCGATTTGCAAGGACCTCAGATCAGAAACACCATTCAGAGAACTTAAAATTTAATAAGAAGAGTGACTATCAAACACTCTCTATATCCTTACGAGGTATGTTCAGACAATATTGTTATTCTGTGTTATGGAACTGGAATATTTTCCATGATTTTTCTTTCAGAAGCTATTACAGTTTTTTGGCATAAATCTGGCACAGTCTGCACCATGTGTTTTTGGCACTCTGCCATTTTATGGTGTGTTTTGTGGCTGGATGTATTACATTCAACATTAGTTGTTTAAAATGGAGCCTGCTCAAGGAAATATTAGTCACATTTCTTTCAAAAGGCCATTTACTTCCTGCTGTGTTTCCTGGTGATCAGCAAAGCAAATATGAAATTAAGATAAACCTAGACTTACACACTAGTGTGTCAGTTAATTAGGTGGCAGGGAACACTGTATGTATCTTATCTTACCTCAATAAGGCCTGCTGATGCCTTTTCCAGCTCCTCCAGTACGCACTGCTCTGAGACATCACCGGCATTTGCACTTTCACTGTATTCTGTGTTATTTTCAGAATTGCTGTCTTCCCCTACGTCAACTATATCTTACAACTTCATCCTCTTATCATATTGTGCCATGTTCTCCAATAGGATATTTTACTATATGGGACTACCGCTCACAACAGCATGGACAGCACAATGCATCCAGAAGTTTTGCAGATTACTCTGCCATTATCATATGGACACGTTTAAGCCAAACAGAGATTAAAACTAAAGGAGGTTGTGGTAGAAAGAAAGAGGGAAGTGGGAGCCAAATCCATCCCTGAATTGGTCTCTCCTCTTATGAAAGGCCAGGACCCTTTCCATAAAACCACACATCTCTCTTAGCACAGCATTGTGCAATGTGTCAGACGGCCAAAGCAATCCTGCGCTGGGTGATGCAGGGAGCCACAAACTGTAAGAGAATTAAGATGCATCTGACTTGTAACTGAAGCACTGAACTGACATTTAGGAGATCTATGTTCATTTCCTCTTCAGGCTTGGGCTCCCTGAGCATCCTTCAGCAGATAAGTTATTATCACTTAATCCTCACCTGAACAATGAAATAACAATAGGTCGTCTTTGAACCCATGCCTGTCTGAGCTCATGAACCTTTATTCGAATGGTGCCAAACACAAAGAGCATCCACGGCTCACTGCCACTGATGGCCACCCAGTCTCTACCAGTAGTAAAGCCTGCCCTGGTAGCAGCTGTGCACCATCTTTGGTCTGAGCTGTGAACTTTTGGGCCACTGCCTGGCTACACACATGGACACGGTATGCAGTAACACCACACTGACCTCACGTGACATCTTCGAAGTGCAACTTTGATAACTAATAGAAATACACCCATCTGCAATATACTCATTCATCATTCATTTTAAACACTTTTTCCAAGGGAATAAGTAACAAAATCTACCCATTTACTGTTGCAAGTTAGACTATCATGACTGAAATTAATAGTCTCCTCAGAAGATGAAAGGAAAATTGCCTCTGGCAGTCGTTGCCTGCACAACTGCTGAATGTACCAGAGCAGTTCCCAGGCAATGCTGGATTTTGTTCTCCCTCAAGATACACTGATATGGGAAGCCAGGGCTTTCCTGGAGTAGGCGCTTAGCGAGCTCTCCTGCCACAGTGCTAAAAAGAAAAGAAAGACACAAAAATTCAAAAGAAAAGGAGGCTCATGAACGCCTGCCAGTGGAAGGGAAGCAGTGTGGTGCACTGAACCTCTACAGAAGCCAAAGGATCAAGGGAGTACTGGCGCAAGGCTTTCATGCTTTACATCTTAAGAAGTGCTCTCTGACTGAAAGAGTGATTGCCTTCTGCAATACTCTCACAAGTCCCCTGAACATAGAAGTCTGTCTCTGCCATACGGCCTGCCTGAAATCTGCAGCTGTATGCTGTCCTCCCACTGCAATAAAAAGGGGGTGCAGGTGGAGACGAAGGGATGACCATGCTGCTCAAAAGTCATAATGACTGGGTAGTCAACTTGTTCTTTTGAAGTTGCCATGCCAGGGGCCTATACCCAAGGCCATTCTTGGATACATGGCAATAAACCTGCACTAAAATGGGAGCTGGACAGGGAAAAAATTTGTTTCCCCTCCTCTCTCAGTTACTCAACCAGTACTAGCTGAAGCACAGTTTTGTCTAAGACTAGGCTGAAGGACTTCATATAGAGATGCTCACATGACCTGTGAGCATGATTTATCCTGCAGATTTCTTTGCACACGGAAATCAGGGCCCAGAAAAGGGGATGCGAATCCAGAAGATGCCAGTTCACCTAAACCAACACCTGTGTGGCTGAAGCAATCAACAGGCACTAAAGGCAGAGGAAAGCTCCTTCGCCCTGACTGTGCTAACAGTGTCTGCTGCACAGGGAGCCAAAGCTGAGCAGCCTGCAGGCTGTAAATCCATACCCTCCCTTTGCCTGTGCAGTAGCTTCCCCTCAGTGAACAGTATCTCTGCATTTACCAAGTAAAATATTAATGCTAAAATGATGAAGTCATTTTCTTCCTATTGTGCAGGAAGAGCAATGCAACATGTTTGAAACAAAGAAACTCAGCTTCAACTGCATATAAGAAAATAAATCCAAAGTAAGTAACTTTCAAACAAGAACAGCAGAAGAGAGATGTTGATGGTGCAATAGACTGATAGCAGAACCTGGGGACAGCCAAGGTGAGTAAAGAGAATTACTTGGGATCTAATCAGCAAGACAGATGCAACCTTTGGAGTGTAATGTTTATGCCAACCTTGTAAGAAATTTGGGGTCTTTTTTTTTTTTTTTACACACTATAGTAAAAATGTTACTTACTGAATGTTATGTTTGAAATTATCTCTAATTTTGTTTCACGCTCTTTCTGTCTTGCATGTATTTTCTTTGAACATGATACCCATAGCCCTGGCATATTTGTTACATATAGAATTAAAATAAACAAACAAAGGTAAAGGAATTTTCCAAAGGAAACAGCAGAAATGCTTTTCAGATCGGCTGCTGTTTTCAAATATAAGCCAGAAAGGACATCAAAGGAGAAAAAAAATCCCTTGTAGGCAATGCTTTATCTCGTATTTCCTACAGAAGTAGCAGACTCCCTAGATACTAAAGATACCTTTTATTTTAAAGGCAAACAAATTATTTTAAATGTAACTGAACTGTAAATATTTATTAGGCCTCTTTTCCATTTGGTTCTCTGAATATGAATACTCCCAAAGTAGTATTTTCTCTGAAATTTTCAGCTTCAAGCCGGTGAACCTGACTAAAAAAAAAAAAAAAAAAAATCTAACGTGACAATTGTGGAAGCATTTAGAAAATTGTGGAAGCATTTAGAATTTTTCTTTAAAACCTTCCACCCCCACCTTCAATCACTGGCATTTTGCCTAGTTTCAAACCACAGTGCTTGGGCCAGGCTGAGGATAAGAGACACCTTAAGAAGAGGGAACACCACCACCTTGGCCTATCCACCTCATGTCAGGCAAAGCTGACACTGAGCCTGCCTTGGCTTAAGCTTAAATTTCTAAGAGGAAAAAGTAGGAGACCAGAAGAAGCACAAAAGAAATCTCTCAGCCACGTTAGGAACGATGTTTTGACAAACAGCCAACCAACTTCAACCAACTGATCTGACCATCGATGACAAACTTAAAAGTAACAGGACTGTTTGCATGAAAAATAACACCACGCATTTTGACCTATCTTTCTTGGGCAGCTTATCAGCCAAGGCAACTTGGTGTATAAAGCATCCCACAGCTCCTCAGCTAGTCACCCTGTCCCAGCTTTACGGGTACTGCTGCACTAAATAAAACCCTCTTTCTTCACCCATTCTATCCTGCAGCTACTAACGCTCACTGAGATCACCTCTGAGTCGGATATCTTTTCCCTGGTTGAGATACTATTGGCATACTATTAGAGCAAATGAGTAAAACCCTGCAATATTGTTCACATGCACACAAAGAGCAGTCTGTGGTATTTTATACCGTCACACAGTAAACACTGGGATGGATTGAAATACCTCTGTGGCTTGTTAGCTCTATGTCTGAGCTCTCATTATTCAACACCAATGAGCTGCTGAAGGTCTGCAGCTGAACAAGGTACACAAGCACAGCCACGCTAATCAATGGCCTCCACAGAAGAGCTAAGACTCCTTTCATCAGGATTTGCACCACCAGGCTTTTCTCCACATTTGCTGATGGCTAAAAGACATATATGGTCAGTCACTGGTGTTCAGCGGACACGTGGTCCTTCACTGAGCCACAGTAACTCAGTGGCATGTGTCTGAACCTTAGATATTACCGGGCAATGCTTGTCATCAGCAGCACCTGATTTGGTCCTCAGGTCTCTTACCAGATACTGAAGTCGCTGGCGTTCAGTCTCTGGAGTGAATTCTGAAGACATTGGAATGACTTCGCCATTTCGGATTATTATAGCCCTGTAATAGTAATAAAACATCATCAGTACAGAAAAAAACCCCATTAAAAAAATACCCAGAAAACCCACAGGTTACAGTCACACTCTTATTCTCTTCAGAGTCACAGTAAAATAAAGCCATTTCTTTTCTATTGAAGTTGTCAGCAGAACACGATAATAATTCCTGCCCTGCATCCTTTAGGCTGGATAACAAAGTATATTTGTATATGCCAAGTTCATTTCAGAGCTCACGAAAACATCCAAGCAACAAAGGCAAGAGTTATTTCAGTTGATGTCTACAGGGTATCCTTATTAAGTGAAATGCAGACACCCAGAGGAGATGCTGCAGAATCACTGACTGTAGAACAACTCTTTGCAGGTTTTAATCCCAGTTGTGGCTTACACTGTCTAAACTACTGGCTTCAAATGACTCATGCAAGCACTTTCCAATTATTGATTGGTCATATGTCATGTCAGAACATTTCTACTCCAACAGCAAATGGAAATGGCAAAGCAAATCCTGTTTAACACAAATTTAACTAGTTACCTGCCAAAAGATGGCAGGTAATGGCATGACTATAGATCAGCCAGGAGATTTCACATACGCTTCTGCAAACGGCAGAGAGGAAATTCTCTCAAACACCTGCCTGTTGCCTCTTAACAATCTGCTATGCTGCATGCAAAATATGGTCCAGTTCTTCCCTGGTGTAATGCCCCTGGCCGAAACACAGTCACAAGGGGGAAGAATTTACCCAGTATTCCTACCACATTCAGGGGTCATGTACTCACTCACAGAATTACGTTCTTTTATCTTTCCATTATTTACGTAGCTCTGTAAGTACAGTAATGCTTGGCACTTTAGAAGAGCTGGATGAACTATGTATCATCCCAAAGATTTTAATGCCTGTTCTGGAGCTGTTTCTTAACCATAAGTAGATTAATTCAGTGTTTGGATAGTAGCAGTGTACCGGCTCTTCTCTTGAATTGGCACAGAATTTGGTGTAGATAAAACAAGCAACTGTCACTTGGATCCCAGTTTCTATATGTTTGAAATGGTCTCCCTTCTGTGATCTTTTCATCCTGTTGATGTGATATTTACGTGCTAGCTTACTTCTCTTGATTTGATCAATTTTCTGGCATTGCTTCTATGCCAGGTATTCTGATGGCACTGCAATGCATCCAACAAATATGGTAGGCACACGAAGACTGAAAACTTAACCACTGAATTCAAAACACAGGCATCTTGAGAAAACCAGCCCGGGTACAAACCAGCTTTGTAAAATTGGTTGCACTGGATAACTTTCCAAGTCTTCTGGATATGACATTGGACTAAAATTGTCTCCAAATGATCAACTACTATTGCTACTATGCAAAAGGAAGGAGCATTATCAAAGAGGAAAGGAACTGTTCACATTTCTGAGATTCACGTGACAAAGAACAGACAGGTACAGGATGGCGCTACAATGGGAGAGGTGGGAGAAGGCTCTAGTGATGAGAGGAAAACAGCTCTGCTTTGACTGGTAACAAACTTACTGCTCCTGGGCTTCCAGCACTCCCTTGCAAACAATCCTATGTAGAAATTAAAGGTGGCAAGAGTGCAACCTACATCCTGAAGACTCCCACTGGCCCTCCACTGCTACAACTAAAAACAATATTGTGTGCTTGAAACGAGACAGACATGGTCGTTGTAACTCATTAATTTCTTAATGTAATTTGTGCAGAATTTTTGATGGAATTTTTTCCCCTTTATGGCATCTGAATATATTACAGGTTTACAAAAATGCCAGTCCAATTAAAAATAATAAAAGTTTGCTGAAAGTTTTTCATTTGGATTTCTGACACAGTCATTTAAAAACGAATTAAGAACTCCACCACCTCTTTTCTGCACAACACCTTTGCTTTTTTTTTTTTTTCAATTCTGAAGGTATTGGGCTTTGAACCAGAGTCATTTACTCAAAGACAGTGGACAGTTTTTATAACCTTTTAATATGTAATTTGACTCACTTGAATAGGCCTCCATTTAAGGGGACTGTGGGTTTAGTACCAAGTACTCTAGCAACAGTCTAGACTAGACTGATCAAAGGAGCTGATCAGACACTAACCAAATTTTACAGACTAGTTTAAGATAGTCATAAGGAATCTACTGATCTTGTGCTTGTCTGAAAGAGCTAATATAAAAACACACATTGATATAACTGCTAGGGCGTCATGCTAATTTTTTAACTATCCTTTGCTTCCCCTTTAATCACCATTTCACAGGAAACCCATATTTTAAAGACCACTCAGACCAGTCTGAGGTTCACCTTTTTCTTTGTGCACACTGACATACTTCCTATATATGTGATAGCTATCATTCTCACTTCTGTGGATAGAATTGGGCCCTGAGGGACTCACATCATATAAAAAGCAATTCAGAGGCAAGTGGGTCAACCTTTCATGGCTCAACTTATTTTCACTAGAAATTGCAGCCACCTGGGATGAAAAGCACAACCCAGCACAAAAAAACCCAAACACCTTTGGAGGGGGGGAATTAAAGCAACACTGTTGATACCTGATGAAACAGAGCCTCAGTTTTATGTTTTTCATTTATGTTTTCAGAGGTTGGATTTTATTCAACTTGAAAGTTATAGCTGCTCATAAGAGTTAAAATTATTTGATCCGAGGAATTAGATGGCTCTAGATACGAGTAACGGGAGGGACGCAGACATACAGGTCACTGGTCTGAATTCAACTCCGGTGGACTCATTATCCTCTTACCAGTCTCTACCTTTCCACACCAGCTGCTTAGCAGTTTCATGACAGCAAACGGTATTTCTGACAGCCCAAGTGACAAAACCGGACACATTCCTCGGCCATCTCACTGGAGAGGCTGGGTGCGAAAGCCTGGCCTGGGAGCCACCCTGCTCGGTGGGATTTTCCGCTGTGATTGAAGAGGTGCCGAATTAGGCCCTAATTGGGTTTGGAGACTGAATTGCCCTTTCCGTGACCTCGCAGTGACAGAGCTGCCAAGCACTGACTGAAGGCTTTTCCCACCGAGCAACCTCCAGAGCCCTGAATTCAATAGCCCAAAGTCAATAACTGCTCATGGGGAGGGAGCCTGGCTGACGCGGCAGCCGCAAACAGCCCAGCAACTGCTTTTAGAGACCCGCTCTATACAGTCCTGCAGAACAATTAATTTTGACTTTACACTTCCTAATGGACTAAGCAGCAACATGGCGTTACGTGAGCATTACTGCTTCTGTCATGCATGAAAGATGCATGTATGCAATGAAATAGTGCTCTGAAAGCATTTAGCCCCCCGTGCACTGTGGAAATATGAATGTATTATTTTATACCAGAATACAGCTGTCCTATTAAACTGTCAGAAATAGCTACAGAGGAAGCAAGAAGAACTCGAAGAGATGCAGTGCCCAGAGAGCATCTGATTCTGCCATGTTTAATAGTGACATTTTAATTTCAGCCACACTGGTGAAACACATTACAGCAGAGCCACAGGGCGAGACTGCCAAAGGCAGACATATGATTCATGTTTGCAGGGAACAAGTATGTCAACACTAACCAAATATTCTCTGATGAGAAGGTTGCTTCAGACCCATACCAATCATTAATTTATATCACCAATGAAGTAGAAATTAAAAAAACAAAAGTTTTTTTTGGCAGGATAGGAAACGGGGATTCACAGATCTGCAGCCCCCTTGGTGTATTGCCCTCCAACGCTCTATGGCTCTGACGCCCTCTCCATGCAGCATCATCCACAGCGCCCAAACAAACAGGAGAAACTGCCCTTAAGTCTTGAGGCCACGGAAGCCATTAAGTCACTTATTTTCATCCCTTCTAAAAACAAACTACAGATTTCCCTGAGTCCTCTCCCCTCTTTTGAACCCAGCAACCTAACTCCCCACCCGCACAAACTATAGGATTGTACTTGCCCTTGCATTTCACAGACACATGCTCTGCATGACAAAGAAAGTACATTCCCTAATCCAGAGCTGGTAAATGTTCACGGAAAACTGGAATATATTGGGAAAAAAAGTCCCCAAAACACAGCTAAAGTAGCCTAAAATGGAACAAAAAAATCTGATTTTCTATCTCTCTTCTGGCCACTTCACTGAGTATTTTCTGATCCAGAGAAGCTGAGCCCTGAACAACTAAATGTGGAGCAAGAGATGTGCCAGCACCTCGGTGCGTAAGGTGGGACTGGCAGTCACAGCAAATCCTGCAGCGGGCTACGTCCACTCAGTCACACGCAAATGAAAAGAAACACCAGGAGCTTAAAAAGCTGCATGTAAATCTACAGAAAATACTACATTTATCTTTTGGATTGACATAACGAACTGCATAGTCCATGATGATCAGCTAAATGATCTTTTGAGTATTTCAGCATTCACACAGAACCTTAAGTATATTGTTATTTTCTACATTCAGATTCAATACTTTAAAACAATATTTGCTGCTTTAGTATATATGCCCTTTTAAAACGTGTGGTGAAGGAGGCAACAAAAGGGTAAAAATCTGCCACTGTGTTGTACTGCTGCTCTCACACTCAGGATGTAGCAACAACACTGGCTTAAGGAAAATATCAATATATCAATTGCTTTTGCATTTTTAATATGGATAAAACAGCCACCTCTCCTTGAATCAAGCAGGGTTTGGGGTTTTTTTTCTTTTTTTTTTTCTTTTGTGGAGAACACAATCAGCAGAGAATTGCACAGCATCCTTTCTGAGTTTCTTATAGAAACAAACAGAGGGAAACTCATACATTTTAGAGGAAGCTATTGTTGGTTACTCTCATTTAATCATACAGAGAAAGAAACACTTTAGTGATCAAGGTCAAAAGTGTAATTTCACTGCTGTCATGGGTCTATTGAGATTCTAGTGTTCAAAACAAAGAGGCATCTCCTACTGTTAGGAGTATTCAGGGGACACCCTGATTCCATTACACACTTTTTCAGCCAAAAATGATTTGAAACGCAACATTAAACTGCACATTTCTACAACAGAGGATAAAAATCTAGTAAAGGT